AGGTGGTGGAAGTCCCCCATGAGGAAGCAGGGTTTGTGAATATGAGGCTGCTCCTATCTGTCCACAGAGGGCCTCATCCAATCAGTCTTCCTGGCTGGGTGGCTTCTAGCAGACCTCTGCTATAATGTCACCTGTCCCTGTCCTCCTTTTAATCCTGACCCATAAGCTTTTGATTGATCTGACCTGGAAGATCCTGATAAGCACGATGTCTGAACCATTTAAAATTATTGTCATCACAGATTTAAGTCCTTCCAGCTGTATTACTGTCCTTTCTATTTCTGAGGAGTACAAGCCATGTTTCATGTCTGGGAGATGTTCTGCTGAGGTTTTAAACCCTAGTCCAACCATCTCAGCATGTTAGGATGAGGCAATAACTTTCTTAGCTTTAGTTTTCATGGTTAAAAGAGGCCAATAGATGAGGCTTTGTGGTCCAGTACAGCTGCAAGAAGTAGAGTTTCTTTTCACGTAATACTTCTTCTTGTCAGTACAACTCAAAACACTTAGCAGAGTATCCCACTTTTGTGCAGTGCAACACCATATGTGAATGTGAATACGGCAGCTCAGTAAAAGCTGGTAATTATGGTTAGTTTAGCCCCATAAACGTCTGGATTATGCTCAGTCCTGAAAGCACTAAATTCTAAAGCACATTCAGAGCTCTAAAGCAGCTGAATCTCCCAGTCTGCAAGTAGTCCTTTTGCCTGTTTGAGTTCTGGAGCCACAAATATCACTTACCAAAGGATGATACAGGGTGGAATGATAGATGTTGGCTCATACCTAAAAGGTTGTCCAAGCAAAGGAATACATAGAAAAATTAATCTATTTCACCCTGTCACTTTACATGCCAAGAGACTATTGCCAGCCTAGAAATTAAAATAATCCTTAAACAATCAGTTTCTCTGCTTAACCCTTCATACACGTGTTTTAAATGATGCAGCACTACACAGGAAGTTGCAAAGGGAATTTTTCTGAAGGGCTGTATCTGTAACAGGAATTTAAAAAAATTAATGATATTCTATATTTCAACCACCCTTTGACTCAGGACTTGACATTCATAGGAGAAGCTGTTTCAGAGTGGTTGATATTATTTCACTAAGAAATCTTGTTTGTCAGTGAAAAATTTGTTGAGAAATTGATTTTTACTATCTTCTTTTGAGAAAAATCTGGTTTGTTCCAAAATTTTTACATTCAATATTTTAATTGTCTCTTTCAAATTACTTTTTCTCTAAAATGTGTGATTTATTATGTAATAATATAAATAAAATGTCTAAAGATGAGGTAAAATTAATATTTTGGATATTCTAAAAAATAAATGCAATCAATTATACCGATTGGAGGCAGAGCTTGATCTGCTAGGATTACACTTTTTTCATGAATTTTGCTTTCTTTCTGTGTGTTAAAAATCTATCTTCCCACTTCTGCTTATTTGGGGAAGAACTCATATGAACAAACACACAGAGAACATCTTGATAACTGGAATTTTCAAACAGTTTGTACTGCAAGAAATGCTATTCCTGATGTACTAAAAATGCCATCTGATTCCCACTGTGCTGCTTTAGTTTCTCAGTGTTTCATAACTCAGTTTCTAATATGCTGAGAGTTTACCTGGTAAGACAAATAAATAACGATGTTTATTAAAAGTGAATCTTTGCCATCAGATCAAATTCTAATGCTGTGCTTAAGGCATGCAGTCTCTATAGTTTGCAATGAGATACACATTTTCTTACAATCTCCACTGGATTTTTTTAACAAAGGCTCTTGCAGTGTCCTCTGAATCTACAGAAGCCTGGTTTTTCCCTCCAAGATAATAGATGTCTGCAGTGTGCTTGAAGTGTTCTACACCTAGACCCACAACACAATGCCACATTTTGCCTTTCACTTCCCTTTTATTAGCTGTCAGGAAAACTGGATTCCCTGTGGAGATGAAAGCTTACTTAAGTGTGCCACACAGTCCTGTGTGGACAGCTCACCCTATTGTCATCCCTCAACAAAACACCTTCCAGGAGGAAGATACAGTCTAAGTGGCATTCTTCATTTTCTTTAGATGTCACATAAGAATTAAGTTGCAGAAAGAACTGTAAAGAAAAAATTCTGGGTTTAGAAGAAATTTTTTCAACTGAGGCAGCCTTTCAGGAATCAGTTCCCTAAAACGAGAGTGGGTAGTATTCCCCAATCTTAGTTTCTTCAGGAAGCTTATTTATGCATTTCTTAAAATGCATGCTGTCAAAAACATATTAGAACAAAATTACATTAATTAAAGTTGTTGTGTATTCCAACTAGATAAAGAAAAAAAATCTAACCATAAATTCTACAACACACTTAACCTCTAAAAGCAGCAAATATCATGTAGGCACTCTGAAAACAACTCAGTTCTCCTTTCTTCTACTTCCCTCGTGCTACATCTGTGAGACTGACAGAGCAGCTCATGAGGACTGTGGTGGGACAGCTGGGAAACATTGCCATGGGCTGCTCATCACAACTCCTCAGGCAAAGATGGTTTACTGACCTAGTTTATGCTTGTACTGAAGTATATCAAACATGTTCCTACAAACATCTGCCACAGCTCTTGGGGCTGGTGCCTCCACCAGCAGGTGCAGGATAAGGAGATAAGGAGAAATGACCTTATCCTGAAAATGACCAACGAGAACTGTCCAGAGTTGACATTGAATTGAGGTAAAAGCACCTTTATGGATCAGGGCCTGGAGGAATATCTGGCTGACTATTTGAATCACACAAAGTGGTGAAAAAATAAGATTCTTGCATCAGCAGCGAAGCCCAATGTCAGAGATGCCTTTGTGCCTTAACATCAGTAGTGCTCAGGGCCTGGAGTTTGCAGTTTTGTACCCTTTCCCCTAAGGTGTTATAACATTGGTTTTCCAAAGTCCCTGTGGCACTTTCCCCTTGTTTCTCCTTCTTTATGTTCAGTTCTGTTGCCCTCACAGCCTTGTGCCTGCCAAACCCTGGTGTTTCTCCTCTCACGTGTTCTCATGGGAAGAAATTGCTGTTAGCATAAGAAATACCTGGCTTCACTTCTTGCCTTGCAGATTTCAGTTTACACAAAAGAGAAACAAGAAAAGCAGCACAGTAGATAATAGTGAGTTATATATTTGACAAGTACTATCCAGGGCTACATGTGCAGAGTCTCAGCAACTAATGGATGTGCAACATCTGTGCCCAACTGGGCATGCTCTAGCCAGGGCTAATAGTTTCATAGGCAAAAAATGAACTAGGAATCTTGAGCCATCCCTGATTAAAATTATTATGATGCTGGGGTAAAAGCACTGTGAAAATGTCACTATTCTTCTTCTCATCAGTCATCTTTGCTGTGATGTCTTGCTGCACTGAAGAGAGCCCCACTCCAGGACACTCACTCTGAGCATCCATCACTGTTCCTCCTTCCTGGCCACTGGAGAGTTCCCCCTTTCTTGTTCCCTTTTCTCTTCCTTTCTCACAGCCTTTCATGTTCACTTCTTTCCCTCTTCCTTCTTTTTCCCAAGTGTAACTTCCAAAGTTAGAGTTGACTCGTGGCATGTGCCTAGCACCCTGCTCACACATCTTCACGCACGCGGATCTGTGTCACCTTCCTGTGTGCTACAGACATCCGCCCAATTAATGGGAACATGTGAACATGATACCAGTGTGTATCAGCTGAGAGTCTATACATTACAGGACACCATGAGCTACAAGTGTTAGAATGAGGATATGGAAGATTTTCCTATGTCACCATGAAGATTTCCAGTCTGTAAATCAAAGCTATCCTATGAGCACCAAATTCACTTAATGTATGAAGATATACAGGTACACTGCAGTACTAGAACCTTTATAAAGTGAATTTTGAAAAGTTTTTATTAAAATAACTCTATCGTCTTTTACCATATTTTCAGCTATATCTCTTTTGTTAATTCAAAATATTCCCTAGATGCTTTAAAAATAACTGAAATTATTAACCTCTAGCTTTTCAAGGGTAAAAAATCTTTTATTATGAAACCCTTTGCACTTGGTGTTTGATGTGAACTGTGATCAAAACCATTTAAAAATATATTTTAAAGTTTCTGTAACTCAAGTTTCATTGAGCTCAGGAAACTTGCAACTATTTTAAGACAGGAAGTATGGGAAGCAGCATCAAAAGGTAATGATGTTCTTCTGGGTTTTGTGCAGCTTTGGCTGCATTTCACTTGTTAATGAAGTACCTGTACAATCCTGTTCCAGCTGTAGTGTGCACTGCAATGGTAGATTGCTACTTAGGTTTTTACTTCAGATCTTTTACTAGTTATTCTCTATGTGAAAACATAGCATGACCAAATTTCTAAATGCAGATTCTTTAGTTTCTCTCACATTTTTGTCACAACTTCCCTTCCCACACAGGTCTTTACCACCGATCACCACAAGATCAAACTTGTTATTTGTGGAATCTAGACTTCATTTATATCATAATTTTATTTTTTTTTCCCCGGATGATGAATGAAGAGGCCAGAAATGAGGATAGGCAGGTTCTGATCCTGGTACTTGAGAATTTTATTATTTTTTGCATTGAGGTAAATATCTTTTAGAAATATAAGTATTGGTGAACTGAAAGTACATCTTAAATTTGAAAGTTAAAATTTTTAATGATTAACATCTTCCTCTCTATATTTTCACTAATTGGTTCTATCTCTACTAGCAAAATCCTAGTGCAGAAAAAATAATTCCCATTTGTTGATTCACATTTTAATTTTGTAATTTAATTCTACATTTGCAATTGCAAAATTATTTCTACCTCCATTCTTAAAACTTCTGTTGCTTGTTTGATGCTGAAAAAGTGGGAGACACTTCAGTGAAGTTCTAGAAAAATACCTTCAATTCTTTTTATTTGGATGTTACTTCAATAATAGGCTCTTTCTGGTCCTTTGAAACATATATCCTAAAAGCATATAAAATGGTCAACAGAAAATGGTCAACAGAAAGGCGGCCTTCATTTGCTCTTTTCGTTTTGTGCCTCTTTTGGTTTTTTTTCCCCTAGGAAAACTCTGCAACATTTAACAGGCCCATTACATTACAACAGTGGACAGCATGACATATTTCCTTTATCTTAACGAATCCAGAGGTATAGCTGTTACTGCCCCTGGCAGAGAATTGTCTGAGGTAATTGATGCTTTGCAGAAAGTCTGGAAGAAATCTTCTTTGGCAGTTCCAAAGTGAGTCATGTATTCTGTACAACAAACCATTTCTCCATTTGCTTCATGTTTTACGCTCTAAAAGAGCATTTCTGAGTGGTCATAAATGTATTGTGAATTAGTAAAGATGCCATTTACAACAATAAATCAGAAATCTGCACTGGATCTTTTAGGTTTGACCTTTGTTTCCTTACTATCTGTTTCACACTGTTGTGTTTCTTCCAACCTCAAGCAAGCCACAGTGTAAGGGAAAGGTGAGCTGTGTCTCATGTCTGTGCCTATGCTAAGGGTCATCTACATCCACAAAGGCAGCTGGAGGCTATTTGGGACATGCTCCATATCCCTAGCTGTAATGAGAGCATGGACCCTCAGTTCACTGGTGACATCTTCATGCAGATGCCTAAATTTAGCTATCTCAAACAGAAATTGCTTTCACCAATTACTTTTTATGGTGCTATGGGGCATCAAGCACCTGACAAGGGTGGACAACAAAATCAATTAAATTGCTTTATTGTTTCATCAGGCTTCTTTTTTTTCCTCATATCTTGTTTTATACTGAGATTTTAACTTCTGTTAACTAGGAAACACTTTATTTTATAAATGAACAGTACCAGCACAAAGTCCTTGGCTAGGGTTCCTAAGTATTATAATAATATAATTTTACTCTCTACTTTCCTAGGCTGTTACAAAGTGCAATGAAGTAGTGCCCTTCAGTCAACTGAAAATAATCAGTAGGAGAGAGGCTTTGGTGCATGGACGAATCCAAACCTTGTGTTGCTTTCATGCTTTTTTGTGCACTGTCATGAATTTTTCAGCAAATTATACAGTAACAGAAATTATAGCAGACATCATTAACTGTAAGTGAATCATAGAAAATATTTTCAGAAAATATTTCTAATCCCATTTTATGGATGAATAGAGTGAAGCAAATATTTAAGGTTTGTTTCTCCATTTATGTTCTGTGTTTGTCCATCTACTAATGAACACTTAATTGACAAAAGTTATATTGAGTGCAGAGCCTCAAATAATTAGGGAAGTATCACAGTACAAAATAATTTATATCACCAAAAATGGAAGAAATTAGTGCTTTTGTGTGTCCCCCTTCAAATCCCTCAGCTCTCAGTGTCCACAAGTGCAGAAACATCTCCCTGTAAAAACTTGAGCAACGGCCCAGAAAATTGATTTGTTTGCACCACAAATCTCTCAGATGGATGAAAGGGATGGAAATTGCTGAAACAAAGCGAGAAGACTGACTCAGAAAATATGGTAATAGAGCTAATAAAGTTCAAAGTCAAAGTGCAATTCTTTAAATGTCTGGGAAAAGAGAACAGTATATTAAATGCAGCATGCAAATATAAAGTCTTTTGGTTTCCTGTGATCCATCCCATTGGCACTATACAATAGTTATTTCTTAGAGCACATTCTTGTCGTGATATTTATAATCAGAAAATGCAGTTCTGAACTAAGAATTAAGACTTGGTTATTCAAAAATCTGCAGGAATCTCAAAAAAAGATGATTTTACGTATCTCAAGGCATGGAATTTTGCTCTGAAATTACTGTACTCAGCCTATACCATGTTTTCAAATTTCAGTAAATTTCAAGTAAAGCATACAAATCATTGTTAAAGAATTGAAATGCTGGAAAATTGAACATATTGATATTTAAGCACATCTTATAATCCTTAGTGACAAAAAATTATTGTAATTATTACTGTGAATTTCTCTTCATGTTCCATTATTACAGTTTTGTATTATCTTCTCATTCTGTTGATGTAAGAACCTTCAGTCTTATTAATATAGGCAGCTATGGAATTTAAATTTAAAAAAAAAAAAAATTACTCCCCCATGGTTAAGCAACCATTCAAGCATGTTAGAAGTCAAATGTCACAAATATCAAATGATTCTCACTGCTCTTTCATGAGTGATTTCCAAATTTCTTTTTATATTGTCCATGAAATTTGAGAATCAAGTCCACATATAACTTTCCAGGGACAATTTAAATAGCTTTATCTATCCATTTCATATAGAAGAGAACTTATGAAAAGTTAACTTTTTTCTTTTTCACAAATACTGTGACTTCCACTATCTAGAAAGATGCATTGATGGATTAATCTCTCCTTACTACAATTGACAATTGTTATCTGCCTATTTATATTATTTAGTTTCTGGGACACAAAACTCAATCCAGTTCTAGCTAAGTTTATAAATAAAAAAACCTGAAAATAACTTCCAAACATAGACTTCTGCATGGAATTATTATAATTTGTAACTTTGTTCACTCCTGTAATCTTGTATCCTTTTCCCTCTTAGTTTATGAGCTGCGCATAAGAAAGAGAATCCTAAAATTATGCATCTGTAGCAAATATTGTGTTCCCCCTCTTAAAACTCAGGAAAACAAGAAAAATTCCTATCAAACCAAATTATTCTCCCATTTCTTTATGGCCAGTTTAGTCTTATTTTATTTTTGTGTTATAGAAGAAACAAAGAGATTACTATGTCTAAAACTAGCAGTCTGCTGATCCAACTTTTTTGTGCCCCAAAATAATTGCTGAGACTAAATTTTTCAAGTTGAATTATAAACTCTCTAAACATGCAGCTCTAGAGATTTCAGATTCTGGTTTAGTCTAATCTCTAGAAAGAATGGAATTTTTGGATATTGGTTCACAGTGGACTTTACTCCAGTATTTAATCCATCGTAAATGCCATATTTCGTGTCATACACTCCACTGCTATATTAGCCCTTAGATGCAACAAGAGGACTTAATTTCCCTCAGATGTGTCAGAGTGAAAACAAAGTCAGCTGTTTAAGGTAGGAGTTAGGGAATGATCATACCAAGACTAAAGCAAAATTAGGGATTATTAATCAAAGCTTTTTATAGCTCTGTTTCATGATGTTTTCAAGAACCAATGGGAAATGACCTCCAGGTGTCAGAATCCACAGTAACAACATTCTCTGACAATAAGAAAATAATAAAAAAGCCATACAGAGCATAAATGTTTGAACATTTATGTTATCTTTCATTACTGTGAGCAGCAGACATGCAGATATATGAGTGATGCTAAGGAAGTGTAACTACAGGCTGGTGAACTTGGTCTGAAAGTTTGCTTCCAAGTGTGGTTATGTTCAACTTGGATTTTTTACAACACACAGACACAGACTGAACTGCCTCAGAGCATTTCTCCCAGAAATGAGAATGGGTTGGTTCATCCCTTTTCTTTGGATTTGTTGATTAGTGATACGGATATGATACTGTCTTTACTCAAATTTGAATTGTTCATCACTAGGACTCAGATATAGCTATAAAGAGGACCTCAGATGATTAGCATCCTTAATCTACTTAATTTACTTAATCTACTTAATATACTGAACCCCCTGGAATAAAAAATTAGCCCAAACCTTTCATTCTGTTTCATCTTTATACAGCTTGGCAGGACATATTCTCCCTGGACAAGACCAACAGTATCCTCTCCAGACATCTATCGAGGTCTTTTTTGAGGTCTGTACAACATGAAAATATTAATCTGACAAGTTTTTTAATTCAAAGATGGTTATAAGAAAAACTGTTAAGTGAAATAGGATTTGTCTTTCTGGCCTTTATTTCTATGTTGTAGTTTTCTGAACATGCTGCACCCACTAAGCCAAGTGAATCATATAATTACGATTAGTGCTCCCAATAGCCCTGTCAGAAATGAAGGTTTATATAGACAATCTGTGATAACCATTTATTATTTTTCTCTGGCTCACTTAGCTGTGAATTTTTATGGGAAATATTTAAATAAGTGTTCCACTTGACAGAACTGACTGTCTGAAAAAAAACCCAAAACACGAAGGAAGCTCAGAGGGATTTATTAGAACAAAAATTTTAACCATTGTACTGCAAACACATCAGTTTTTATATTCTTGTACAACGTTTTATCTTTAATCAAGATCAGATGGTACAAACTGTAACATAGACAGGACTAGATAGGTAATCTGAGGCAATTATAAAATAATATGGACCTAATAACCATATGAATAAAATAAAAAATTAGAAATCAGTGTTTCCCTCCTTCTGTGGAGCTGAGTTTTGTATCTTTTCCTGTTTCCTTTAGGTTTAAAGGCCTCCAAGGGAGAGATTTGTCCCCTGCATTTATAAAATAATAGCACAGTCGAGCACAACTTCAGTTCCCTTCGGGATGTTTGTGTGCTGGTTAGAAATTTTATATTGATATTTTCCTTTTTTGACATTGCTCTTTTTTTATAAAGTTAAGATTTTTATTCTGTTTCCTTTTAGTAGTCTGTAAATGTTATAGCTACAGTTTTAACAGTGTTCCTTTTATGTTTTTACATTTTATTTGTATTAAAGAAAATATTTTCTAATATTTTGTTTCCATCATTACTTTTAAGGGAAGAGAAGCAATATTTATTTCATTAAACCAAATAAAGTAAACTGAAGATTAAAATTAATATATTGGAATTCCTCTAGTACAATACATGAAAAAAGGTAATTGGAAAAATATATCACTTCTAATTACTAGTAACTTTCTGAGAAAACAATCTTTTTCCTTCAACCCATGCTATGCCATCTTCAACAGAGATATCAGGGAGTTTTCTTTTTCTTTAGTTTGAAAAATTATTATTTTTTTTTCTTTTCATTAGAAGCAGATTGAAAAAAAAACTAATTTAATATGACAAAATATTTCAGAAAGTCTTTAGGTGCTAATCAAAACATTCCTGTTTTGATTTTGTTCTCTTTAGACATTTTGAAGTGAAAAATCAAAACATTTCTTTAAAAACACCAAAATTGGACTTTTCAGCACTTCAGAAGTCTGTCGTTGATGGTTTTGATCCTCAAAATAATTTCCCCAAGCCACAGACACAAGCACTGCTGAACTGGCACACAATGGTGCCCACAGGAGGGAGCAGTGTTTGCCACGATTGTTTTCATTAAGTTTCACCTATGGTTTCATTCACATCCAGCAGGATATTTTCTAAAAGCAGATTTAACTCTAAAATCATGTGCAATTCTCTGTGAGGCAAATATTTAAGCTTCCCCTGCTCTGACCTCAGGAATACAAGAATATGTGCTTCAGTGCTTTGCCGAGTATAATTCCTCACTAGCACTCAGTTGTAGGGCTGAGGTTGCAAGCTTTTAATAAGGGATGCACAGATATGAAACAAAAGAGTGTCAACAATCATCAAAGGCTTGGATTTTTCATTCCATTGCTAACACATGAAAAAACATGCATTAGGAAGATCTATATCTGGATAAGTATTTCAGTGGTGAGATGATATTGATGTAGCGCTATCTATCTTCATCAGTTACAGAAGGCCTGAATTGATTTATAATACACTGCATGGATTCTTTTACAAACCATCAGATCTCTGTCAGGGATTTAAAAACTGGGTCAGTTCCAAAAAAAAAAAAAAAAAAAGAAAATAAAGAAAAGAAATATTAAAAAGAAAAAAAGGATAATGTTTAACAAGTCTTGTATGATTAACAGGTGTTTTCCAAGCAAATTCTTTTGATCAGCTTAGCCATAGGGGTTTTTTTGGGTGGTTGTTTTTGTTTTTGTTTTTGTTTTTTGTTTTGAAAGGCTTTGCTTATTCTAAAGGGAGGTAAGAGTTCCTTAAAAAAAAAAAGGAGCATGAACCCACCAAGTAAGACATTATGACACTGTTACTCCTTGCTGGCCATATTCCAAAACCCTTCTCCAAAGAGCCAATCCTGGTCACTTAAACTGATAGGATAGTGGGTTAGATGGACCTTTAAACAAACTTGATATGTTCAGTTTCATATCTTATTGAATAAGTCATAGAAGAGAGATATGATACGTTTAATTTACAAGCCTGTTGTTTAACCTTTTGAATGTTGGGGTTTCTTTTTTTTTTTCCCCTTACATTTTTTAAAATGAAAACCTGTATTTTCCTAGTGAACATGTAAAAAGAGGTTGCAACTGCTTGGTGAAGGCTCTCCCAGGGTGTCCTTGCATCTTATCCTGCATCACCAGTCAGCCCCACCTGGCTGGTGTGGTTTAACCAACCTGGAAAGTCGATATTGGAGGGCTTCAGTACACAACAGTACTCATGTAACCACTAACATAAGTCTACAGGGACCAGAGAGACACTACACAAATAAATTAAAATCTCCACCAGACACCATTGCAGGGGAGGGATTAATCTCTTTATGCATTGTTTAAAGCCTAATTCACTCTGCTCCTTTTAATTTCAATTCCTTTCTATTCAACTTTTTCAGGTACACACTATGTCACAAAAATACCTACAGGATCAAAGAACGCGCTATACTGAACCCACCAGTCCCTTTCCCAGCTTCTAACCAGAGCTGGCCAGAATCAGAAGATTCAGAGAAGGCTTTAAACAACTTACATTTTAAAAAATGGGAAAATCTGGTTCCCATTTATCACACTCTAATAATACTTGGTTGTTTTAAACACTGACTAACAAGATTTAGAATAGATTTTTGTTCTGGTTATTCTTGTTCTCCAAGTATATCTCCAAACTATTTTTGAAACTTGTGAAATTCTTTGTCTCAATAGCTTATTTTGACAGTGACTGCAAAGTCTGTACCCTTGAGAAAAATATATCTTATATTAATTTTGAATTTTCCTTGGATAGTATTTATTTCTTTATCATGTCTCTATTCTTACAAGCTCTTCTGCTTTCAGTGTCTGATTCTTTCCATCAGGAAAGACCATGAAGCTGCAGAACATCTGTTAACAGAGTGGTGTAGGCCAGAAGCTGTCTCTAGTAATGGACAGCGCAGAAGGATATGAGAGGTTTCTGCAGCATTTACAAGCCTGTAGAAATCTTCTCATGGCAATCTCTTTTCTGTTTTATTTTGGGTTTTGGTTTGGTGTGGTTGCTTATTTTCTTTTTTTTTTTTTTCCCTTAGGAGCTTCTTCAATGTATTTGGCCCTTTCATTTTTAACTCATACATATTTTATCAGGTACAATATTCTGAGTTTCACAAGTTATGTGAAGTACCCCTTTGTTTTGATTTTCCAGACATGCCGCCTGCTAGTTACATTTAACTCCCCTTAGATCTTGTATTGGAAAAGACAGTAAATAATGATTCCCTTTTGGTCTGTTCTTTGACTCTCATCATTTTATGGACTCCTGGTATATCTCCCTCAATGCCAATTAAAGGCTTGTGCTGACCTCTTAAGGAAGAAGCCATCATGCCCAGCTATCTAAACACAACCTCCTGACCATTTGAGCTCCCACCCAGGGTGGCACAGAGCCACCTGAAAATCAGGAGAAAACCAGGTATATTCACATGTGCCTTCTTTGTGCCAGGTGACTGTGCCAAGGCTCAGGATGTATTTACTTCTCCAGAACACTGTGCCCTGCATTCAAAGCTAAATGAAGTATCTTCCACTGGAAGCATAACCCAAAAGCAAGTTCTCTGAGAAATGGACAAGCCCTACAATCAACATTCATGTCATTATTTCTGATGATTTTTTTCCTAGAGAAAGAGAAGAAAAAATTCTATTTCTCTGGGCATTTTTTAAACCCCAAAATGCCTCCAACAAATGGACATGCTTAGGGAAGCTCAACAAACGTCATTGCCATTCTGTAAACATGCAGAGAACCTCACAACCAACAGGAAAGAGAAAATAAGTTTCTTTTTTCATACCCTGGAAAATATAATACAATGAACAACTCTGCTGGACAAAAAACTAAATTGTGCTCCTGGCTGACAGACTAGTCAGCTTTGGCTACCTGTTGTCTCATTTTCCTGTCTGCAGTGTCATATGCCCTCAAGACTGTCCTTTTCTTCACAGGCTTCTTATACTTTGCATCAGTAATTTTTAAAGTTTGCAGATCTTATGGGTCCCTAAAAGTGGATTGGCAAACCTGATGTGCTGTGTTTAATTCCAATATTTAACCTTTTTCCTCTTCTACTTCATAGTAAAAACATACTGAGGCCAGTATAGCCACTGGGAAGAAAATGCAAAGAGAACAAAACTAAATATTTTTGTCAGGGCTGAGAAAACGTTCCTTTTTTTTTTTTAATTAAAAAAGAAATTCACTACAAATTTTATTTTGTTAAAAAAATAAAATTATATGCACGATTTAATGTCAATCATTTTATTCTTTCTTTACCTCTAAAAAGGCATTTCAGTCTTTTCAAGCCAAAAAATATTGGTTTGATACCAAAGAATTGGCAGATTTTCTCAAAAGTGTTGAAAGTAGCATTCTCGTGTTTCCATGACAAAATATATCACTTAATATTAGATACTTTAAAATGTCAAAATTAAATGATTCAGCATTTTCATATCCCTCCCTCTTTATTTCTAAGTTGGAATTATTATGATTACATTCATTTCCACCCACTCTCACTCCAAAACATTCTTATTGTTTAAGTTCTCTGTTCTTCAAATTCTTCCTGATTGCTCTGGTTGCTCCATCAGTCTCTGCGCTGCACTTGGATGTACTGGTACTTGGAAGGACTTCAATTGCAAATCCATCACACCAGCAGGGCAGTTTTAGTGCCCTACTGCATGGGACATCAAAACATCAGAAAACCCAAGGAACTCTCTGACCTCAGTAATTTTTCTCAGCTTCAGTTCCCACAGACACCAAAAATCTTGTGTTCTATCACTGCTTTAGTGAATGAGAACTTAGTTTCTTCAGCTGAGAAATCCAATTTAAATCTCATCAGGGAATACCGTTATCCTGTAAACCACAAACACAGGAGAAAGCAAGCATGAAAAAACTGCTCAGCCAGGGACTAAAGTAAGTGGGTTATTCTGCAAGTAATTCATTCACTGAACAATTTTAGTGGGAGTTGTGGCTAAATCAGGACAGAAGGAGAAGTACACAATGGGTCTAAACCACCACCATCTGTATAGAAATGTTTCTGAAACAATTACTTCACAAGTTTTTCCAGCAGCTGGACAAAACCCATATAAAGTAATTTCTCAAGAGATTTGTTCCAGAAATACTGCTTTTAATATGTACCATTCCAGTTACTACTTTCTGACCTTGCATATTTTGGGATCTCAGGCATATCCTATAACATAAAATAAATATTTTCCCTTCTAAAGTTGCTGTCTGTTTTAGATTTTGTGCTTTATTTGAAAAACTGTGCAGTAAGTGATTTTTCTATCCTATTTTAATTTAAAAATCTCTGGTTTCTTGGTGTATATCATGTAATACTACTCCATCCACTTCCTGTGTGTTCAGGTAAATTTTTATTTTTGTCTGTCTTTAATAAGGTCATTCAAATCTTTTGCATTCCAAGGAGGCCTTATGCCATTCATTAAAAGGGTTATTAAATCTTATGATTTCTCCTTTTCTTTTTCCTTAATGACATTTAAAATTACTGCTGTTTCAATTTCCTTTATTTGTTGCAACAGCTTTATGAGAACTCACTGTTCTTTCCAGTAGCTAAGTGGTTTACTTTTTCTTCAACCCTTCCCCTGACTCTTGATGCCACAGAATCAAAATTCTTAAAAGAAATCCCCTTCAATTTTCTTTTTGGAGAGTTAAGCACTTTCCTCTTTCCTTCTTTTTTTTTTAATGCAAAGACATGGTACACCTCTGTTTTAGCTCTAGTTTCTTACAGAAAATGATCATCTTAAATTCGATTTCTCTTATTTTAATGTTCTCAATATTTTGTGCTGTCATCTTGAAACAACTCATGGGTTTGATTGTCCTCCTTATAGAAATATTTATAGCAATATTTCTCAGTGGAGTACCGTCCAGAGCAACCTCCCCTGCTCTTGAGTGGACTGGTGAACCTCTGCAATGGTCTGAGGCTGAGCCTGGAGGAGTCTGCTGTGGCACCACATGCAGACTGCTCCCTGATTGATCCTTCACAACCTCTGCAGATGACTAACATATGCTCTAATCCAAGCTTTTATCCATCAGATTTCGGTATAAAATTTCATCCAATCATATTACCTTGCCTTGATCTTTTCATTTTGGGCTTGCCACCAAAGAAATTTCTACTTTGGCCATGGACACATCTCTTACTAAAATCCTTTTCCCACCTGCCTTTTCTCTGCCACGATAAACCGAAGTTACATTGGTTTGACAAAGCTGTCACAACACACCATTCGCTGTTTCATATTTAAAACTCTGCCTCTATTTTGCTAACTTGCTGTGCCTATAAGCGAGAAATTTTTGTTTTCTTCAATCTGTTCCTCAAGTGCAATCATACTTGGGAACAGTTATCAAATATCTTCGCTCACATCCTCCTCGAGAGTTGCTTATGATACCAAATTTGACAGTGTTTATTCCTCTAGGACACGGATGCCGGACTCCTACATGTCCCACGATATTTTATCCCCTTTTATCTTCATGCAGTGTACTGCAGATAGGTGGCATCTCTTAGAGTGTTGTCATGGAGTTCCCAGTCCCAAAAAGCCCCTTTAGGGGTTATCTAGAACAGGAAAAATGTTATCTCAGTGCTGTTTATCTTTCCTCTTGTTGAATTTCCACTCTATGAGTAATTAATTACTTAATGAAACACAGTTCTTGTTTTTACTTAAGTGTTTATGTAAATTGTATTTTATGAAGAACTATGTATATAAACTCATATATACATAGAAATTATGTAAAATGTTATGCAAATTGGTCTGCCAGGAAGAGGCAAGCTCATGAACTTGTATGTAGCAAGTACTGGTTCATAACCTGCAGAAGATTGGGACAAGCAGATGTAATTCAGCTGGATATGATATTATTTTTATGAAAGCTGTGTCAAGCCCTGGTTTAGATGACAGGAATTAAGAGGTGAGGCATTTTCCTAATTAAATCAGTAATCAGTAATATGAGGTCGAAGAATTTACACTGAACTAAAATGTGATTGGAGGAGTTGGCACTGGGCTCTTGCAGCCAAGAAGCTCAATAGCATTGTGGGCTTCATTATCACTGAACTATAGACTGGTTTGGGTTGGCAAGGACCTTAAGGATCATCAGTTTCAAATGCCCCTGCTGTGGGAAGAGACGATGCCCTTTAAACCAGGTTTCACAGTATCCCACCCAACCTGTCCTTGAACATTTCCAGGGATGGGTCATCCACAGCTTCTCTCAGCAACCTGTCCTAGTGACTCATTACACAGTTCTTTAGGTAAAAAATTTCTTAATAAAATCAAATCTAAATGTCTTCTCTTTCAGTTTCAAACCATTCTGCCTTGTCCTATCATTACCTCTCTATATGAAAAGGCACTATCACTCCATTTCATAATTACCCTTTAAGAACTGGAAGGTTCAGTGAAGTCTCACTGTAGTCTTTTCTCCATGCCAAACAATCACAACTCTCTCAGCCTGTCTACACAGAAAGGGTTCTCCAGCCCTCTGATCATCTTTTTGTCCTCTTCTGACTCCACTCAAACAGGTCCATGTCCTACTTACGTTGAGGATTCCAGAAATGAATACAGTACTCCAGGTGGGTTCTTGTGAGGGCAGAGTAGACAGGGAAAAAGAATCATCTTGCTCAACCTCCTGGCTGTTAACATTGTCACAGCCAAGAGGTCCAGGGGAGTGATTATTGTCATCTCTTTAGCATTTCTGAATTTATGTTTGGAGTACTGTGCCAAATTTTTAATTCCCTGGTATTCCAGAAATTAAAAACAAATTTCATTAATTTTCCCA